TCACAGTATGGGGAGAGCAATTAGGGTCACATAAGAATGTATGTATAAATTTTTGTATGGGAATAAAAAAGAAACAAACCTTTGTTGCTACAACCTACTGAGATTGTTTTGTGTTGTTTGTTATGGCAGCATAGTCTAGTCCATCCTGGCTGATAAAATAGGAATGGTCATTAACTCCAGCAATAAGAATACTGACATTTATTGAACACATACTATGTGCTATGCTCTCTGTGTGTTAAGCAGTTTACGTGTTCTTTCTCATTTAATCTGGTAACAACTTTTTGAGATGGATGTATTTTCCTCCAATTTACAGATGAAGAAGTTGAAACTCAAAGATGTTGAAAAAGTTTCTCACAGTCACGTCTCTAGTATATGTGGTTAGGATTTTAACTGGCCTTTGCTCTTAGCTGCTTCACTTTACTGTACATTCCCATCCCAACAACTTTGTTAAACTGTCCTCCCACACACTTGGTGCCAAAGCTTCAGATCTCGGATACATGGGGTATGGATCCTTGCATGGAACAAACCTCCAAAAGCATAAACCAAAAACAAACCCATTGCCGTTGAATCGATTCTAAGTCATAGCAACCCTAGAGGACAGAATTGAACTATCCTATAGGGGCTCCAAGGAGCAGCTGGTGGATTCAAACTGTTGACCTTTTGGTTAGCAGCTGAGCTCTTAACCACTGCACAGCATAGCCTCCTGTAATCTGGGAAATGAAATAAGAGAATGTAGCTAATTTATTGCTCACAGCCTATAAAAACCTATTATTTATCTTGTAAGAGAAGACTAGAGTCATATACAAGATTTCATACGATATAACAATGCCCTACACCTGTAAAAATTACCCAATAATTGTTATTATACTGCTAAATTGATAATATATTGGAAGTAATATGAAGAGCACAAATATTTATCATTAACAAAATGACATTGTGCAAGAAAATTTGGGAGACAATATTTATATATACGTAACCTACTTTTGAAATAATAGTCTGGATGGTACATAGTTGAATCACAGTATGTATATGCCTTCAAGTCTAGTTATTGGAAAATTATAGGCCAAAAATACTTCTGATGCAAATATGCCCCACATACACAGTAGGGTTCACCAAAAAATCCACAACAAACTAAATTAATAAGGAAATAATGAAACCACAGTAATTTATAATTAAAAAACAAGAATAGCAGCAATTTAAAAACCACAACCAACCAACCCAAGACAGCACTGATAATAGGCTGACAACAAAGGATCCTTCCGAAACTTGTGGGAATTCCAGCTCTGTGTGTTGGAGCTTGCTATATTGCCAAGCATTGTGTGGGAGCCAGAATTGTTAGCAGAGCAATGAATGAGCATCCTCCATAGACTAGTAATGTGCTGTCTTGAA